ATTTTTAGTATATTCACAAATATATGCAACCATCACCTTAATCAATTTCAGGACATTTTCTTTTCTTTTTTAAGATTTTACTTATTTTCTAGAGGGGGGGTGAGGGGGGACAAACATCGAGGTGTGAGAGAAACATCCATCAGTTCCCTCTTTCACATCGCCAACCCAGGCATGTGCCGTGACTGGGAATCAAGCTGTGACCTTTTGGTTCTTAGGCAGCACTTAACCCACTCAGCCACACCAGCTAGGGCTTAGGGCATTTTCATCAGCCTTTAATCTTCCCAGTCCTGTTCAGCCCCTGGCAGCCATTAGTCTTTTTGTCTCTGTAGCTCTGCCTATTCTGAATGTTTCACATGTGTGGTTTCATACAATTTGTAGTCCTTTCTGACCGATATCTTTTACTTAGCATAGTATTTTCAAGACTCATCCATATTGTACATGTGTCATTACTTTTTTTCTTTCCAAATAATAATTCATTTTATGAACATACCACATTTTATTTACCCATTCATCAGTTGATGGACATTGCGTTGTTCCACTTTGTGGCTATTATGAACAATGCTGCTATGAACATTTGTGTGCAAGATTTTGTGTGAAAATAAGTTTTCATTTCTCTTTTTGTATACTTGGAGTAGAATTTCTAGGTCAGAAGTTTAGCGTTTTGAGGAACTTCCAGACTGTTTTCCAAAGCAGTTGTACCATGTTACATTTCCACCAGCTATATGCCAGGGTTCAAATTTCTACATATCCTCACCAACACTTGTTATCATCTTCTTCTTTTTTTTTTTAAGATTTTATTTATTTCCAGAGAGGGGAAGGGAGAGAAAAAGAAAGGGAGAGAAATATCAGTGTGCAGTTACCTCTCAAGTGCTCCCCACCAGACACCCCATCCACAACCCAGGCATGTGCCCTGACTGGGAATTGAACCAATGACCCTTTGGTCCTTAGTCCGGCACTCAATCCACTGAGCCACACCAGCCAGGGCTGTCACTATCTTCTTTTATTCTGGGTTCATGATCTTTTTATTACACCCTTCCTCCCATTGACTCTATCTTGCCATCAAGCTCCAAACCATCATGTCAGTACATTATTTTACTTCTCCCTTTGTAGCTAGGTGATTTGGATTAGCTATAGACCTGAGATTTCTTATAAAGGGATGGACTTAGCTTATCTGGGTGTCTTGAGTAGCTTGAAAATGACATCACAGTGTAAAGGTTAAAAACTTGGGTTTTGCCCTGACTGATGTGGCTCAGTGGGTTGGGCATCATCCATCAAAGTGAAAGGCCACCAGTCCGATTCCTGATCAGGACATATGCTTGGGTTGCGGCTAGGTCTCCAGTTGGTGGTGTGCAAGAGGCAATGGATGTTTCTCTCACACATCAGTTTTTCTCTCCCTCCTCTTCTCCCTCCCTTGCCCTCTCTCTAAAAATGAATAAAGTAAAGTAAAATAAAATCCTTGAGTTTTAAAGTCAAACAAACCTGGATTTAAATCCTAACTCTCTTACTTAATTTCTCTGTGCCTTGGGCAAGTCCCTTTACCTCACTGAGCATCAGTTTCCTCATCTGTAAAGTGAAGATAATACCTACTACCTTCTTGAGGTTGTGGAAATTAATTTGCATAGAAAGCACTGAATAAATGGTAGCTCTGCTATTGCTGTTGCTATTACTTTTTAATTTGTTCTAATGTTATATGTGAGCCATGTTTAATATCAAATAAGATTCCCTAGCATTCCTTAAAGACTGTACAATTTGTGGGCCAAGAGGTTGGGGCCATAGCCTATGGAACACATGCCAAAGATGTCATGTGGGTCTGCTTTCCTCAGCCACACAGACTGGTTGCTACCACCACAGTTCCCTCCCTGCCACCAACATCAGTTCTTAGCTTGGGAGAGTTATTTGCTGCCAAGCCCAGCCTTTCTCTTAAATACTCTAGTGAAGAGAGTGATGATGAAAATCATCAAACACTAAAAACACCATAACCCTAGCCAGATAGCTCAGTTGGTTAGAGTGTCAGCATCGTCCCAATACACCAAGGTTGTGGGTTCAGTCCCTCAGTCAGGGCACGTAACAAGAATCAGCCAATAAATGCATAAGTAAGTGGAACAGCACATCATTTCTGTCTCTCTCCTGCCGTCTTTCTCCCTCCCCCCCTCCCAGCCTTCTCTCTTAAATGAATAAATTAATTAATTAAATTTAAAATCGCCATAAAACAGTGGGCTTAGTTTCACTAAAAGACAATATGTTAATCTCATGGCATTTAGTGAACTTAAAATTTGGTGGGGAAAAATTCCAAAGGTGGCACCTGTTTTCAAGCACATGCCCTGAGCAGCAGATGACATGAAAAGGCAGGGTCACAGACAATATTAGCCCTAGTTACAGACAAAAGGTGGGGATGCTTTTTGCTCACTCTGTACAGTCACTGCAGTAACAGTTTCGTCATGAAAGAAAGCAGTACAGATCCCTGTCAAGGATAAAGGAGAACTAAGTAGGATTCAGAAACATAGTAAAAAGACTCAGACTATAACTTTTTTAAAAAGCCCTTGTTTCTTAGAGAAAGAATGAAGTTTAGAATATAGTTATTTTCCACATAATTTTTATATAATTATTAGAGCGAGAATATTGGTGATGCTACAACAGAAAAATTTCCTTAAACAAAGAACTTGTGTGTTTCTTTTTTTTTTTTAATCCTCACCCAAGGATATGTTTATTGATTTTAGAGAAAGAGGAAGGGGGTGGAGAAACATCAATTGGGTACCTCCCATACACACCCCAACTGAGAATCAAACCTGCAGCCTAGGTGTGTGCCCTGACTGAGAATCAGACCCACACCTTTTCGGTGTAGCCCAGCCAGCTGAGCCACCCGGGCAGGGCTCCATGTATTTCTTAAAAGTTTGTGTACTATAGGTGTATTTAAAAACAAGGGAAAGAGGAGAGTAGTTTTAAATGTTTGAGTTTGTTCTGGCATTTTTATTTTTATTTTAATATAATGTCCCCTGAGGCTCACGTGCTAGTGTTAGGTATGTGCTTGCCTGAGTAGTGCTCAGTGGTAATATATTCTCCTGTTGCGGTGAGCCCTCTGTCTGAGAAACAGCCTTCCATTCTAGTTGCCATAAGCTGGAGATGTGTTTATTCTTTCCTTTCTAGTCTTTTTTTTAAAGACTTTATTTTTAGAGAGAAAGGAAGAGAGGGAGAGAAACATCAAAATGTGAGAGCTACATCTGTCAGTTTCCTCTCGCACACCCCCACATGGGGACCTGGCCTGCAACCCAGGCACGCGCCCTGACTGGGAATCAAACCGGAGACCTCTAGGTTCGTAGGCCGGTGCTCAATCCACTGAGCCACGTTAGCCAGGGCTCCTTTCTAGTGTTTTTAAATGTGTAGTCTTCAGCCTTCCTACTAACTGTGTAGCTCTTTGTTTGATTCCTGGGACTTGACACACAACCTGCCTCAATCTGTCCTCCTCACCACTACCTGTTTTCCTAAACACTGTGTCCATCATGTCACCCTCTCCCCCTTCAGCAACCCGCTTTGGACCAGGTACTGTCTATTCCAGAATCCCCACTCCCCTGCCTACCTTTTCATACCAAATTTCCCTTTTTTCCTCCAACATAGACCCACTGTTTCAGTTATTCTGTACATTCTACCTCCTGCCATTTACCCATGTTCTTTTCCACCTGGGATCTCTGATCTTGGCCTTTAAACCTGCTCCAGTCCTATTGATCCTTAGATGCCCTGCCCAGGTTCTCTTTATGTACAATAAACTTTCTTATATGTAGTCCTCTAAGTGCTACAGATACAAGGTGAATTAAAATGATCCCTCCTTCCACCCCGACTGGGTGGCTCAGTTGGTTAGAGTGTCATCCCATACACCAAAAGAAAAGGTTGCCAGTTCGATTCCAGTCAGGGCACATACCTAGGTTGCAAGTTCAAGTCTCAATTGGGGCACATACAGGAGGCAGCTAATTGATGTTTCTCTCTCAACCTGTCTCTCTCTCTCTCTCTCTCTCAGGACTAAAAATATACCCTAATAAAATGATCCCTGCTTCTAAAGAGGTTCATTTTCCCTCATTTTTATTCAGCTATGAGGCCTACAGCCTGTCCCTCAAACCTGCCAAGTTTGTTCCCATCTTAAGAACTTTATACTTGCTCTTCCTTCCGCTTTGAGATGTCCACCCACCCCATCGCCCTAGCACTTGTTTATGTCATCATTCAAGTTCTACTTCTCGTTGTTGACAAGTGTTGAACAGGGAAGAGGCCTTCCCTGATCATTCTAGCTTAACCAGCTGCCAGGCACTCTATTCTGTACCCCTAGTGATCTTATTTGGTTTACTTTTCCATATCTGCAGGCATCTTGGTTTTTCTGCCTCTCCCTCCCTCTCTTCTATCTCCTTCTTTAGAATGTAAACGCCTGAAGGCAGGATCTCTATCTTGCTTACCATGGTATTCCCAGTACTCTGAACATACCTGACACACATCAGGCTTTCAGTAAATATTGTTGACTGAGATGTCCCAGGTACTGTGCTTGGCCATAGGAACGATGGGCTCTGAATCATGAACATCCAGGTCAGTGACCTGTCCCGTGTCAGAATAAGCTAGCAGTGAATTCTTCTTGGTCAATTTCCATTTGTGTGCTGTTTATCTTTTGATGAGACCTGCTTAATTATACTCTGGTTTTTGCCTCTCCTGTGTGCTGCTCAGAATAGAATAGGAACTGCCTCATTTATTATAGGTATGCTCAATGCTAACCAGGGCTGCTGGCATTATGACAAATACTGTGTATGAAGAAGAATGTGGAAGAGTTATGTTGCCTCTGTGATATGGCCTTGTGATGAGCTGTCCATTCCAGGGACGTGCTGTACCCACCAGCATGCCCTGTCACCCCAGGCCACTCAGTTTCTTTGTGTTTTTATTTTCTTCCTTTGCAAAATGAGTTTGGATGTGAATAATACCAGAAAAAAATGCAGAATGCCTAAACGTTTAACTTCTCCCCTTCTTCTTAGATGTGAACGACTAGAAGAACAACTAAATGACCTAACAGAGCTCCATCAGAATGAAATCTTGAACCTGAAGCAGGAACTGGCCAGCATGGAAGAGAAAATTGCGTATCAGTCCTATGAACGGGCCCGGGACATCCAGGTTAGCATGAAGGATCCAGGTGTAAAAAATTAAAAGAAAGTAGAATGGTTGTCACCAAGGACTAGGGATTAGGGGACTTGGAGGGATTGTTATTTCATTGGTACAGAGTTTCAGTTTACAGCATGAAAATAGCTGTAAGATGAATGTGGGTTGTACAACGATAGGAATATTTAATACCACTGAACTGTACACTTAAAAATAGTTAAAATAATAGATTTTGTTATGTGTGTATTTTACCACAATAAAAAAAAGAAAAAGAAATGCAGTGCTGATACATTTTTACAACATGGGTAATGCTGGAAGCATTGTGTTCAGTGAAAGAAACCAGTCACAAAAGGCTGCATAACATATGGCTCCATTTATGTGACATGTCCTGAACAGCCCCAGCTCTGGAGGTGGAAAGTAGATTAGTGGTTGTCCGGGCTGCGGGAAAGGGGAACAGGAAGTGATAGCCAAGGAGTTAGGGGTTTCTTTTGGGGGTGATGAAAATGTTCTGGAATTTTGATAGTAGTGATGGTTACATGGTGAATTTACTAAATGTCATTGAATTGTACACTTTAAAATGGTAAGTTTTATGTTACGTGTATTTTATCATGGTAAAAAAGTTTGGGGGAAAAGAGGAGGGTAGAGTATCAAAAGAAGCTAAGACCAACTGTAATAGACCTATTCTTCAAATGAGGTACATTTCTCAGAAATGTATACCATTTGGAAGTGATATGCTTGCTTCAGTTCTTGGGAGATGTTTCTTGAATCACAGTAGTCTCAGTCTGTGGAGAACCACAAGCATTCCGTCTGCCGGTCACTGCTTCAGGGGCTGCTCTGGCAGTCTCGGGGCCATCTTTCCTTTCTTCTTCTGTGGCAAAGGTGCTTTTGTCCTAGCTGCCAAGTCCAAGTGTTTGTCAGGCATTTTGCCAGGGGGGTTGCAAGAATGCCATACACAGTAATATTTAAGGTTAATAGTAGCCCTCTGGTGTATTCTGTGAGAAAATAGAATATTTAACTTTTGCTCATCCCAGTTGGGAAGTATTTCTAATGGAACAGTTGGTGGTTTCATATGAAGGCATCTTAAAACTAGTCTTAGTTTTAAGAAAACTTTTTTAAGAAAACAAGTTTCCAGGAAGCTTGTATTGCAGTAGCATAAAAGAATCAAGACGATGTCTACATTATTTGTCCATCTGCTGTGTTCTGTAGGCCCCTAGAATTCTGTTTATTGTTTTTTCTCAAGTCATAGTGGATTGGGAAGTATCCATTGTCCATTCTCCAGCTAACTTCAGTCTGAAGTTTCTGGCCTTCACTTCAAATCCTAGGAAACTAGGACCCATTGAAACAAGACCGGAAAAACCCAGGGTTCCACCACTGCTGAACTTCGGAAGATACCTGACCACAGCTAAGGGAATAGATTCTGTTCTCTAAATGTTACTGTAAATTTCATAAGAACTTATGGCTGAAGGTCATGGCCTTAAGGGAAGCAGATCACTTCTAAAGTTTGGTCTAGCATTTCAACATAGTGTCCTCTTTACAGAGATCAACCTTAAAAAGGGGAATGTACTTAAAAGACAGAGCAGAGATCCCTTTCCCACCAGCTGTTGCTTGTTTGATATGATTTAGGAAGTTGTGAAATAGGATTTAGGAAGTTGTGTAGCATGAACCTAGACCAGCCATTCATATGGAAAAGAAGCTTGGGCGGGGCCCTTAAGTTGGGTGGGGTGGAGTCTCTGGGGATCTCCAAGGCTGATCAAACAGTGTTAGCCAGGTTGATGGGGTCACAGATATGGCACCAGCTTGCCTGCTTAGTCTTAGTGGATGTGGTTTCTTTAATTTCATGGTTGCCAGACTTCCACTCAACTCGATTTCTGACGGTTCTGAGTGATGGTTGTTCGATATTTTAGTTGCAATTTTGATGTGGTTGTGCGAAGAGGCGAGCCATGTCTGCCTAGTCTGTAGTCTTGACTGGAAAAAAACCTTTTTTAATCCTCACCTGAGGATATGTTCATTGAATTGAGAGAGGGGGGAAGGGAGGGAGATGAGAGAAACATCGGTGGGTTCCCTTCTGTAACATACTTATGTTAACATACTTATGTGCCCTGACTGGGGACCTGCAACCTGTTGGTGTACGGGATGATGCTCCAACCAGATGAGCCACCCAACCAGGGCTCAGTCTTCTTTGCCTGCCCCGTCAGATGTTTTAGGCATGTGTGCATGTTGAGCATGGGATCTTTGTTGAGTTACAGTTATCCAACTTGTAAATGTAAGGGGAGAAACAAAGAAGTCTTCTCATTCCACCATGATGCTGCGGTCACTCTCTAGCATATTTAAAATCATTGGCATAGTTCAAGATGCATCTGGCTTGCCCAAGGGGCAGGTCAGTGACTCAGATTACTTGTGTGCAAAAGGCTTAACTATTCCCTGTTCTGGCCCACAGGAGGCCCTGGAGGCGTGCCAGACCCGCATCTCCAAGATGGAGCTGCAACAGCAGCAGCAGCAGGTGGTACAGCTGGAGGGGCTAGAGAATGCCACTGCCCGGAACCTATTGGGCAAACTCATCAACATTCTTCTGGCTGTCATGGCAGTTCTTTTGGTCTTTGTCTCCACAGTAGCCAACTGCGTGGTTCCTCTAATGAAGACGCGCAACAGGACGTTCAGCACTTTATTCCTTGTGGTTTTCATTGCCTTTCTCTGGAAGCACTGGGATGCCCTCTTCAGCTATGTGGAACGGTTCTTTTCATCCCCCAGATGATGCTGGCAAAAGAAGGCAGTGCTCCCCTACCCTCTGGCGAGTGCATGCAGCAAAGAATTAGACAGCAACTTACCTACTCTGACGTTTTCTACAACAACAGAAGAGTTGAGTGAATCTGTTTACATTTAGAATAATGTTTTTTTTCTTCAAGAGATGCAATTGCAATAGTATTTTTTAGATTTTATCCAAGAAGTTTTTTGGGCAAAAATCTTGGATCATTTTTATGTAGCATGATTTTCCTTGGGATGCAAATCTTAAACAGTCCTTTAACATGAACCAACAATCTGGAGCACACTGAAGGGCATCGAAATTGTGGCTTGAAGGACTGCACTAAAACCCACTAAAAAGATGTGAAACCTGATTAGGGAAACTGGTTAAACCTAACACCCTGCCTTGTCTGGGCTCACCACCTCTTTTCCTCCCAGACTAACTTTACTGTGAAATCGTACCACATTCCATGTCTGAATTTTTGGATTCAGGGTGGATTTTCCTTGTCCGTGGAAGAACATATGAATCTCCCTGGCTTTTTCACCCGAGTTGGCCGCTCACACTAACGCTGGAAGTATGATCGCTTTTGAACCTGGTCCCTTAACCTTTGCTAGGATGCAAAAGTGAGAACATCATGCCCCACAGGATCACCGCACAGTCCTACTACAGTATTTTGAAGTAGCCCTCCAAATACTTAATTTTAAGCAAAATCCCATGGCCGCACTTTTAAGTTGTTTTTTTAATATGTGTATAGTCACCAATTTAAAAAAACAAAAAGTCCGAACAGCATACTTGAAGAATGTACTACTCAAACTCTCAGTGCTTCCTTATGGTTTCTAATAGGATTTTTTATTGTTGTTATTATTATTATTGGGTTTTTTTGGAAAGGGTTGGGAGGGTCTTTTATTTTTCCTTTGAAATAAAGAAGTGATGTTTTTAAATGAAGAAACGTGTGGATATTTAAGTGTGCTGCTCCCTCCTGTCATGAAACAGTTTGAGTAAGGGAAGACTCGCTGTAAATGCTGCCCTCCAATACCCTTGTGTTGCGATGCAGCTTAAACTCCCTCTTCTGGCTGCTGCTGCTGCTTTTTGGTGTTTGCCGCCCCTCCCCCCACCACTTCCTGGGCTTGGCTTGGTTGGAGAGGGAAGGGGTGTGCAGGGAGAAGCTCAGTAGGGTAGACATTTTTTGCCCTGAGTAAATGATCAGTCTGACTTTGGGCTGGGGTTTGTCTTTAGGAAAAAGCAAGACTGTTTAAGAGAGTCATAAATAATTCCTTATGATTTCCTTAATTTATTTTTTAACACCCTCTAATTACTGAAACCAAAGTGATTTTGAATCTTCTGTCTACATTTTGGCCTCTGCATCCTTAATTTCAAAGCTTTATTTTGTCTGCCTGAGAGAATCCACTGAAGGTGATTCTCATTAAAGAGCAGAGGAGATATCAGGTTAGAAGGAACCAAGTTTGGGGTATAAAATGCTGTCAATTTTCTATGTATATAGGCTGACTTATTAACATAACTATGCTCAGTGGACTTTTATAGACAGTTCTCAAAAATGGACTGACACTTCTTCCTTATCCTATAGCCAGTTCCACCATCCTGGTAGAACTTGGGCTTTCAGAGCTTATTTAGAAAGTTTGGCTAATCTTTTCTTGTCTGTAGTGTTGAATCACAAAATGTTGTTCCCTCTTGGCCTCAGCCCTGTGCAACCAAGTGATGAGCAAGGGGCACAAGATGTGCCCTCAGAATAATAGCAGAATAGGCTTTGCCTATTTCCCCCATCCCTAGGAAATTCCTTTGAAACCAGATTAGCATTGCCTTGTCCGTCTGAAAGCGTGGTTTACACGACAGCTCCAGCCTCCTGGGGTTTGGCAGGCTGGCCTTCTCAGAGTCAGCATGTTGTTACCATAATCATTTCGATATTTTAACTCAGGTACCCCAGTCTTCATTCCATTCCCAGATGACTGTAGCACACCTGTTAGTTCTGTTGACCTCTCAAAATTAGTGCCCAGAGCAGGGACCAGGGTTAATTTTTTTTTTTAATCACAGGGTGATTTTTTTTTTAATAATGGGAACCATTTCGTGTTCAGCCAAAAACAATTGTTCCCAAACATGTGTATTTAAAATGTTAACTTTGCCTAAAAATATTGCAGTGACTTTAGACAGGAGTGCCAAAGGACACGTGACCTTGCTGAACTAGCAGTTGACCCTTTCTGCCGGAACTTACTGCTCAGAATAGAGGACCCTACAAAGTTATTGGAAAGATTCTCTAGCCACAGTCCTCCAGTTTTTCTAAGATGGAACCTTTGAGTCCCCTAAACTATGTTGAGACTATTAAGTTTTGTGGGCACTTGAAGTCACTGTGATAGATGAATTGTTCCAGATGCCCTGGAATGGTTTCAGTCAAAGGAAGGTTTTCACCTCCGGAAAGCCCCCTGAGCTCCCAGCCAAACATGCCCGTGCTAACTCTGCATCTTCCTCTGTCGTGCCGTCTTAGGAAGGCCCTCCAGGCTGGGTCAGGCACAGTAATGGCCTTCTGTCTCTTGATTGTTCACCAGGCCGAACAGTTGTCTGTTTTTAATGCTTTTTGTGACCATGACTCTGTTTTGATGCCTTTCCCCATTTTCCGCACCTATTACCTTTGAGCTTCTTTGCATCATGGCTGTTCTTGGATTCTCTCATCTGTTCAAAGCTCTTCTATAACTTCACTCTAATGATTTAACAATTTTTCTGTGGGTGGAAAATTCCCCTCATTTTAATGCTTCTTCTCTTTTAAAGACTACATGCATTCCTTTTGAAATGAAGCATTCCTGGATTACTTGTTAGTGGTGGTGCAAGGCTGGCTGTGGTGGCCTGGGTGACTCTTCAGGTTGTAGAATGCTGATACTTTACTCGTTTATGATCATTGAAGGAGGTGTCTGCTCCAATTTCAATTCTTTGGTATATACTCAGTGCATCCTAGCAAGGAAGGCTTTCTATTCCACAGGCTCCTACAGTAAAAGTAGGTTGAATTTTACCCTTCACTGACGGTGGTGCCCTTCTCTCCCCTGTACCCCCTCCACCCAATTGAGGGAAAAATCAGATACCAAGAATAGTACTGGGATCAAGCCTTCCTTGCTAGCCATGTCCTATTAATAAGCATATTTTTATGTGGTTTTCACTGCATTTGGTTTTGTTGGTAATTTCATATTCCTTTGAGGTACAGTCAGATGAAATGCTGAATTCTGAGTGAGTTCCAGAAAGGAGCTGCCTTCCAGCTTTGGAAAATATGCATCCAAAACAAAACCAAATATTCCACAAATTCACAGAGGCAAAATTTTGGTTCTCACCCCCAAATGAGACTGGGGATTTTGAATGTGGCTCTAAGAGTTAACCTTTCTGTCTGTTATGTATGCTAGGTGATACCCTCAGTAGGATTGACTACTAGACTGTAAGTGTGTTTTATCAAGGTGTGTAAGAGTAAAAACTCACTTGCACGAATTGAAAAGTACAGAAATGACACTTGTGAACGTGTGAACGTTAACACTGTAGTTGGTAGATCTTAAGCTGCTAATTGTTGAGAGAGAATTACGTTTGCGTCTGTCTGGCTGCTGCAGACCCGCAGCAGCACTTTCACTGTACATACGAATTGAAATAAAGACCTCGGCTGTTAATGAGGTGGTTGGACTCGGGTTTGTTTTGCTCTTTATTTTTTCATACTCGGTTTCCAGCGACAAGTTTGTCAGTCTGAAAATTTCCCACTAGTTTGTGCATTAGAAACTGTGTGTATATTTTCACATGTGAGTGTGTGCATGTGTGTGTGTGTGTGTGCGTGTGTGTTTAGCCAGTATTTTGAAACCGTAAATGGTAGCTCGGTGGCTGTCACTCTCTCCCTGGATTTATACACATCATTTCAGCTGTAGTACTTTGCCACAATTTTTAGACTGGTAAGACTGCCTTTTAATCCTTTGGAAGCAGATTTTTAGAGGCAGAGCCCCCAAATTCAGCATCCAAAAACCCCAAAATCGGTATAATAATCCTTGTCCATTCTTACAACGCTTTGTTAATAAACAGATGTTATGTTGGGTATATGAACATACTTTGTAAAACATTTAACATTTGAAGTTTTTATATATATATATGTACATAAGAGGTTACCCAGCCTATTCCATCTATGGTTTTGTTATAGAAGTAGTAGTTTCTACTACAGCTTTTCCTTGACAATCTCCAGGAGGCCTCTGGAAATCCAGAAGTTTAATCTCGCCTTTGAGAGGGTACCGAGCAGGGACCTGATGTCCTAGTCTTTCATAGCCCCAGTCTGCATTTCAAGATATTTGGGGCCACACTTCTGACTTACTGGCTCTGTGCCTCCTACCATATCTATAAATTAGAAATGTTGCCCCCATCTTGATCCTACCTAGCAGATGTTATGAAACTAAGAGGCTTCTTGTGAAAGCTTTTAAAATTGCTGTGAGAATGCCCCTTAAGCTTTTTGAAACTAATGTGCAGGTTGTACATTGCTCAATCCCGAGGGGCTTGGTAAGTAAGCTACACTGGGAAGGGCACATCCTAGTGTTGTACAGCGCACGGGGGGCACACGGAGCAGCCCTGGTTATAGGTGATACATAATCTCAAAGTCTGCTTTTTTTTTCATTTGTTAAAGACTAGAGAGTGGAAGACTATACCGTAAATCTGAGAAGCTGCGACGTAGAAACAGATTGAGGAGGTAGAGGGAGGGTATGGCCAATTAGAAAAAGTATGCCTCACCTAAAGTATTCAGATGTACTTTTTTAAAACTCTATGGGCTAACCTAAGCACCTCATCAACTTGCAACCTCAATTGTAGGTAAAGAAGAGTAGCTAACATTTGTTGAGTACTCACTGAATGCAAGGCTTAATATCAGGTTGGCAAAAGTCCATTGTGTTTTTTTCCGTACTATAGCTCTAGTGCTTGGTTGTCTTTAATTTCATTGGAAACAATTTTGTTAGATTATATTGCGGACAGCTGTCATATCAGCGTGCATTTAAAAAAAAACTTACCAAAATCGATGCATTTTTGTGCAACCATCTTAATATTGAAGATGGAAGGAAATACACAATGTTTTTTGTATACTATGCTTTGTTATTTCAAGAAAAGTAAAAATGCAACTGAAATGCAAAAATAGATTTATGCAGTGTATGGAGAAGGTGCTGTGACTGGTAGAACATGCCAAAACTAGTTTGCAAAGTTTCTCGGCACTAACACCGTTTTGGTCAAATAATTCTTTGCTGCAGGGCTGTCTTATGCACTGGATGATGTTTAGCGGCACCCCTGACCTCTACCCACTGGAAGCCCATAGTAGGAGATAGCTGACATACTCAAAATATCCAAATCTATAAAGTTATCGGTGAAAATGAAATATATGTCTTTCATTTTACAGGAAAAAAGTCATGGACTTTTTGGCCCACCCAATACTTGGTCCTTGACATGCAGTTCTAACGTAATTCCCCCCAGTCTCCTACTGGCAGCGTCAGCCTCACTACAGGCGTAAGGCTCCTGAAGCTTGAGTGAAACGGCTGAGAGGGACACTGGTGGGCAGTGGCGAGTAGATGTGATGGAAAGGAGATCTGTGCAGGATATGTAACGAAAGATGGGTGTCCCCAGTGTGTCAGTGTAAGAGTGAGTACAAACCAAGAAGAGAAGGCAACTTGGTAGAAAATGGACAAAGATTATGAAGAAATAGTTCACAGAAAAAGAAATTAATCACCAATAAGCATTCAAAAGAAAACATTCGGCCTCGTGTAAGCCAGTTGTGAGAGTCCATTGAGCAGAGGTGGAAAGGGTTGGTACTGTTCCTAGTGCCAGATAATAGACCATCTTTTGCTTTAGGATTGTTTGGGAAGGGGCTCTGGGCTCCGTTTGGACCACCCATTGGGCTTTCTTCCAGCCCTGGGTTTCTGGGCCTAGGGGTCAGATGAATGTCCTGCTGCCAGAGGACACGCGTGAAAAGGCGTGCTCGCAGCAGACGGCACAGCCTGTGCAGCTCAGCCCTTCATTTATCCGACAGCGTTTGAGACCCATTCTGTGTACAAGAGAATGCTGCGGAGAGGTGCTAAGTGAAGGAAAAAGGAATGTGGTAGAAGAAATGTAACAGTCAGAAGCCATGTGTGAGAGTGAAGAGGAGGACGCAGTCCTGAAGGCAGTGGGGAAAGGGCAGGTGGAGGAGGGGGTGGTCCGGGCTGAGCAGTGGTGGGTTTTTAATGGGGGAGAGGGCAGTCCATGTCAAAGGAACAGTATTGGCAAAAACATGGATGTGAAAAAGGCCAACATGAGTGGTTCAAGCACCAGATGCAGGTGAGCCTTGGATGGCAGGTAGGCTGCCTGGAAGAAATGCCAAACAGTAACAAAGTTAATAATGGTAGAAGGGGGGGACAGGTTTCAAGAAATCTTGAGTGCCATGCTAAGGTTTACCCTACGGCTACAAGAGAAGCCATTAAAGGTATTGGAGGTGTAATGACCCAGCCTTGTGTTTAAAGATAATTATTATCCTTTCGAAAGGAACCTGTATCCTTTTTTGTGTCATTTAAGTCGATTGGCTAATTGAGAAATGCTGTTCAAGGTATTTGGTCTTTTGCCTTTTGATCCTATAATTGTGGGAGCTGAAAAACTTGGATATCTGGGAAGTGAGGGTATAGGAAGCCCAGAGTTCAATTCTTATTGAAAAATCAAACAAACAAAAAAAAATCCTTGTCACCTTTGGCATTAAAATTCTTTTATTAAACAACTTCTTTTAATTTTTATTAACTTGTTTTAAATAAACCAATAGATGAAAAGAGAAACATTGATTTGTTATTCCACTTATTGATGTATCCATTGATTGATCCTTGTATGAGCCCTGACCAGAGATTGAGCCCGAGACCATGGCATCTCTAGACAACACTAACCTACTGAGATAGCCAGCTATGGCTGGCATTAAAATTCTTAAATGCTAGAGCAAACAGACTTGACAAAATTTATTCAGGTTTCTATCTTAATGTTTAAACTAGCCAAAGGAATATTCTTTTTTTAAAAGGCTGTGTTTATTTTCAGAGGGGAAGGGAGGGAAAGAGGGCAAGAAACATCAGTGCGTGGTTGCCTCTCATGTGGCTCCCACTGGGGACCTGGCCTGCAACCCAGGCATGTGCCCTGACTGGGAATCAGACCCGCAGCCTGTGCTCAATCCACTGAGCTACACCAGCCAGGGCAGGAATATTCTTTCAGAACACTTCATTTCAACGGTTATTAAGCCTCCTCTATTAAATGTACAACAAAACATGATGAAAATAAATGATAACTACCATACTTTAAAGAGAAGATTCAGAAGATTAAATGAAATAATTACACAGTGTCTTGCCCAGCACCTGGCCTAGAGGAAGTGCCCCACAAATAGTCTTGATTATTAACATTATCAATAGACTGAAAAGTCCTTGAGGACAGACTTGTCTCACTCACCTGGATCTCTCCAGAATATATCATGTCTCCTGTTCTTTCCTGAGGAATGGCCCAGTAGCCAAAATTTGAGCTGTCCCTGGCCACCTCTGGCCCTTGAGTAGTTTGGGGACACCAAAAAAATCATTACATGTCAAGAATACCCTGACCATAGAAACAACAAAAGAAAGCATCCCAATCATTGAGAAGGAAGACTTACAGGTGGGCACACATACAGTTGGCTAGTAATAGATTTTACTGGTGATTTCTTAACCACAGCAAGGACCTTGTTATATCCTTGGCTACGTCCCCAGTGTCTGAAATGGGGTCTGGTATCTAATATGTGCTTGTTGAAAAGTAGAATTTTAAAACATTTTATTGAGTCTCTTATTTTATACCACACACAGTGCAGCTTGTTTCACTTTGAATTCTTACAACTGCTCTGAAGAGGAGGTGGCATAAATTCCACATTGCAGATGAAAACGAAAGCTCAGATACGTGCTTGGTTTTCATTTTGTGGACAAGTCATTTCACTAGCAAACAGCAAAGTCAGCTTTTGAATTCAGCCAAGTTTGCATTACGGCCCTATTTCTGCTATTCCACTTTGTTGGACAAGGAGTCAGATTTGCAGATTTCAGACTGAACATGAGAAGGCAAATCAGTTTTTTTAGGCCTCAGTGTCCTTACTGTAAAGTCAGGCACCTTAGTTGGGCACAAAAATGATACTCTTCGTACTTGGTGCCCAGCTCACAATCTTACAAGCATAAGCTGTGACCACTGAGAGGACTGGATGCAGGACAAATGGGAACATGTGGCTGAGGTGTAGTCATGACCAAAATGGGATGTGGAGGGAAGGAAGGGAGGAGGGCCCAGGGGAGGATGTTTGAAGCAAATGGGACAAAATGCGTAATAGTGGGTTCGTGGGTGTTCTGTTCCCTTACTATGTGAAATATTCCACGAGCCCCAGCTGGTGTGGCTCTGGATTGAGCGTGGGCTGCAAACCAAAGGGTCGCCGGTTAGATTCCCAGTCAGGGCACATGCCTGGGTTGCAGGCAAGGTCCCTGTGGGGGACACGTGAGAGACAACCACACATTAATGTTTCCCTCCCTCTTTTCCTTCCCCTCTTTCTAAAACTAAAACAGTTTTAAAAAAGAAAAATATTCCATGAGCTAAAAGAAAAATAAAATGAGGTGGTATGGCAATGATGGCACATTAATGGGAGCATGAAGGTGATGG